GCCTACACAAAATATTTTATAAAGATTGCCTAGTAATTTAAATTGTTTTATAATGGTTGCGCCTAAAAGTAAATTATTTTATAGAAAACCGCCATTTTAAAATGGGTGTACCCCAAGGAATCGAAATAAGTTAAATTTAAAATACTAAATATCACACGTATAATGACACTTGCAGTAGGGTGGAACTTAAAACCCAAATTTTGAAATTTTTGTCCTAATAGCAAAATTTATTTTCCTTTTTTAAATTTAATGCCAACAATATTTTTTTTAAATTTTTTTATTAACATTTACCGGTGCCGCTAGGCTTCTGAAATTTAAAATATAGTCAATGGGGAATATAATTTTTAAGACACCCAATAAATAACTTTTTGCATAATAATGCATCCCAGACAATAAAATGACAATAATACAAATGTGACAGACTGTCATTGACAGTTTAAATCTGTCACGTATTGATCAAGTTAAGCAGTTTTATACCTATTGTGATTGTGTATATGGTTATAAGTTATATCTTATAACTTATAAGCTTAAATAATGGCTGCCAAAGTGCCAAAAACAAGAAGTGCGGTGAAATGTCCTGTATTTGGTGAGCCAAAGTCATTAAAAAAAGACCATCGTGTTTTACCTACCTATGAGGATGTAATTAAGTATTACTTCTGGATTCAGATTGACTTGAAATCGTCAAATTGGAATCGTAATCCTACTGTTGCAGAAATTTCACCAGTAATTGTGGAAACTTTAAGAGAAATTTGGCAACAAACCTCTATTCCAGTAGTTTCCCACAACCGTATTATGAAAATGCTTAAGGACTACCATGATAAATGTAGAAATTTGAAGAAGTGTACCAAGTCTAAAAAGGGTAATACTGCTTTTAAAATTAAATTAAACAAATTTCGGGAGTCTGCGAAAAGAATTTTCGACATAAGTGCCTGCAAATGTAAGGATTTTGTCTTATGTCATTGCATTAGAACGATCCGAGTTCCAAAAGAACGAGAATTTCTTATGGATCAGAGAAATGAAAGAAGGATGGCAATGAGTGGAATAGATAAGGAAAGAACAAGAAAAAATGAGCGAATAGCCCAAAGAATAGAGACGGAGACTTTAAGAAAACAAAAGAGTCTTGTAAAAAGTTGTGAAGAAGAAAAGATGTCAGAAGAAACATCATGCGATGAAAATGATGACCAAAGTGTGTATTTCCAGGAACATGATTTAAGTTCAGAGTATGATTTCGATTATAACAACCAACCGCCGACATCAGCTACATATTGTGGTAAATGGAAACACTTGTAGTTCTTTATATTTAAGTTTATTAACAGAATTATGTAGACGCGCCACATCAGCTGTCAATGCTGTCTGTCTAATGCCCTGCCCTCTTATCCTATTTATAACATCCCTCCTTTTTACACACTATTCTAAAAAGTCTTTTAAGTATGATGGTGTTTTGACCAAACGCCCTGATCTAGTTATTCTAGTCTTATTATCTAACAATATATTTTTATCAAATTCTGAAGGTGTTTCAGCACTATCAAAATTAGTCACAGGAGTAGATTTTTCAGATATAATTGGCGCTTCATCCATTTTTGGATTTATTTTAACATTATTAAAGGACCTACGTAAATGTATACTGTTTCTTCTAAGAAACCTGCCATCATCTTTCTGCACTAAAAAGGATCTAGGAGTATCACATACATTGCTTATTTTCCCCGGTACCCACACTTTTTTATTTAAATCCCTTACCAAAACATTATTTCCTACTTTAAAACCTTGTCTTTTTTGTGCTGATTTGTTATAATTGTCTTTGATCTGAACTTGTTTATCCAACATTTGCTTTACTACATTGGTACTAACTTTAGGTTTTAGAACCGATTGTTTACAAGGCAACTGATCACGCAACAAACGTGACATAAGCATTTGTGACGGTGAGTATGTGGTACCTGTAATGGGTGTATTTCTGTAATTCAGCAAAGCCAAATTAATGTCTTGACAATTTTCACGACATTTTTTTAACAGTCTTTTGGCGATGCCAACCCCTTTTTCAGCTAACCCGTTTGACTTGGGATATCTGGGACTGGAGGTAACAACTTTAATACCCCACATCTGACACCATGTGGTAAATGGAAACACTTGTAGTTCTTTATATTTAAGTTTATTAACAGAATTATGTAGACGCGCCACATCAGCTGTCAATGCTGTCTGTCTAATGCCCTGCCCTCTTATCCTATTTATAACACATATGGTTCAAGAAAAACTCGAACAAAAAGGTATCATCTACCTTCACTTGCGTTGGCATGTGAAAGAACGGGTGTATCTGACAGAGCGGCAGCCATCATAGCGAGTGCTACATTAGAGGACATGGGCCTTATTTCTAATGAAAACAAAGAAAATGTTATTGACAGGATGACTCTCAGAAGGCAAAGACAAAAGAGAAGAAATAAGCTGAAAGATGGTGAAAGAAGACAAAGTTTAATTTTGGAAGGATTGTATTTCGACGGACGAAAAGACCAAACAATGAGTCACCAAAAGAAGGGGAAGAAAAACTATCGAAAAATAATCAAAGAGGAACATATCGTATTAGTACAGGAACCAGGTTCAAAGTATATTGGCCATATATCCCCAAAGTCTTCGTCTGCTGACTGTACTGCAAGTGCAATTTTAGAGTATCTACGAAGCAATAACATTGCTACTCTAAATTTAAAGGCAATTGGAAGCGACGGAACTGCAGTTAACACAGGACGCAAAGGTGGAATCATTAGAATATTTGAATTCCGGCTAAGAAAACCTTTACAATGGCTAATTTGCTTACTTCATGCCAATGAGTTCCCATTAAGACACTTATTTCAACAATTAGATGGAACTACTACAGGTCCTAGAGGATTTGTTGGCCCAATAGGAAAGCAGCTTGAACACTGTGAGGAGATGGAGGTTGTACGATATGAAAGAATTAAAACGCATTTACCAGAAGTTGACTTTAAAGATCTTAGTACAGATCAAAAGTACTTATATGAAATATCTCAAGCAGTGTCAAGCGGCGTATTTCCAGCAGACCTTACCAAGAGAAACCCTGGAAAAATGGCACATTCCCGTTGGTTGACGACTGCCAGTAGAATATTGCGTTTTTATGTGTCTTGTGAAAATCCATGCAATAATTTAAAAGTTGTTGCAAATTATGTTGCTAAAGTTTATGCTCCCATGTGGTTTATCATAAAAATGAAACCCTCTTGCAAGGATGGATCTAAACACTTGTGGCAGTTAATAAGTTATTCTAGATATCTCGAGGAGGAGCATCTAAAGATCATTGATCCAGTTCTTCAGCGGAATTCATTTTTTGGGCACCATGAAAATATCCTCCTGGCCATGCTTACCGACCCTTGCAGACATATTCGAGAACTTGGTCTTAGACGAATTATGAAGGCAAGGTCCAAACCACAAACCAAAACTGTTCGACAGTTCGAAGTTCCTACAATCAACTTTAAAGCAGCTGACTACGTAGAATTGATTGATTGGAGCTATTGTCAACTAACGGAACCTCCTGTGTTGTCTAATTTGACAAACGAGGAAATAAACAACATGGTTAAAACAGGAGAGACACCTGTTATTGATTTCCCACGTTTCCCTTGTCATTCTCAGTCAGTGGAACGATGTGTGAAAATTGTCACTGAAGCTGCTGCAGCTGTGTCAGGAGCAGAAGCTAGAGATGGTTTCATCTTGGCAAAATTAGTGTCCCGTAATATAATGCCAATGTTTAATACAAAAAAAGACTATAAGTAAAAAAATGTTTTATTTTTGGTGTCTCAGCGGCACCGGAAAATCATGTTGTAGATTTAATTTTCTGATAATATATGCTTTAGAAAGTAAAAAGGAAAATACTTTTCACTATTACACTTCAATATATATAAAACCAAATTCTACCTATGTTTTTAAGTTCCACCCTAACTTGCAGTAGGTAAAATACATAAAAATTATTATTAGTTACCTCTACAACCAATCGGTTTAAGTTTTTCTGTATAAAATTATCATAGCGAGGAAGCTAGTTTTTTTGTTATTTAAAAAAATTTCCTAAAACACTTGAAAATACGGGGCGCACTTAAATTTTGTTAGAAATATGCTATATATTTCTCAATAAAATTTCCCTGGTATCAAAAATGTCTATCCCTGTAGCACAAATAAAGTTTCCAAATAATAGATATAGTGTTTAAGGTAATATTAAAATGGCTTCTTTGCTAATGGCCTCGGCCTCAATTGCAGCATTCAGAACATCTTTAAAAAACATTTTTATTTTGTTACTGTAATTCCAATATGCATTTTTATTTTATATTGTTTTCATGAAGCTATTATAAAATTGTATAGTTGTTTTATAGAAATACTTTTGTAAAGTATATTTTATAGCGCAGTATAAAAAGCTTTAACAAAACTGTTTTATAATGCTTTTGTAAAGTTTTTCTAAGACTTGCCGAAATGTTTATAAAATAATTTTATTATGTTTCCAAAAGCTTTTACAAAATACTAACCAAAACTGAAATGTTTTATAAAGTGGTGCCAATTTTACATTTATAGCTATCTTATAAACATTTTAAAAACGTTTCTGAGAGTAATGTTTGTTTTATAATTTTTGTGTAGGAAGCGTTTTGGCAAGTATTATAAAATATAAAAATGCTATATATAGATTCAGAAATATAAAATTATTATTTATTTTATGTTTAATTTTTGTACTATGCAAAAACACAATATTTGAAGAAGAAAAATGATTTACCTATAAAAAAATAGAGAATTAAAAATCTGTATAGGTTAAAATAATAAGAAGGGCGGTATAAAAAATTTAAATGACGTGATTTCGTGAAACGGTGAGACACGGGTACGTTTATTAACCTTTATTTTTAAAATCTGTTAAAATTTTTATGGAAGGAAAATCGTGTTGAATTGTGTAATAGGTCAATTGAGATTCTCAAGGGAAAATTGTTTCCCTAGTAAACATAAAAATCCTAAATATTTCCTATTTTCAGGTAAAGCCTTATCTTTAAAGACCCCTTCACAACCTTGGATGCTATTCGCAGAGTGCCATGAAAAAGACGTTACCGTCATGTTTCAAGCGAAGAACGGCTCACACATAAGGAACTTCTTGATTCAGTACAACACCTCGTACAACAAGGACGAGTGGCTGGACGTTGACCTTGAAGTGCCCAGTAACGCCACGCAGGTCAAATTGCCTCTGATTCCGGGAGTCGAACAGAGTTTCCAGGTGATCGCCGAAAACCGGTTCGGAAGATCCTTCCCGTCGGAAGTTTCGAATCCTTGCAAAGGCAAGCCGGAAGTGCCGCACAAAAATCCAAGCAACGTTACTGCTGAGGTGGACAATTCCGGTATGTAAAATAATTTAGGTGTTGTAACTATCATGACAATTCGATTTTTTTGGATTTTTTAGAAATAGTAAAGAATCAAATTAAATAGTAATTATACAGGGTGTTATGTAATTAATGTTATATATTAAAATGGGTTGTTCCTTAGGGTCCATAAAGAAGCACCTGAAACTTTTTTTTTCTAAATTCCAAAGTCTAAAAATAATTTATAATAACCTTTATCCAACCAAAAAGTACGCCACTGATCGACTAGGAACTTTAGGTTAATCTGGTTAAGTTATTATGTTATGGTTGGTAACAACAGTGTTTCCAAAATCTGTCAAAAAAGTTGACAAACATTGTTTAAATTTAGCTTAATTTCAAAAATGACAAAATTAACAATGCAAATTGTGAATTTGGCGTTTTTATTAATTGTTGGTTATGTCATTTTTGTACTGAAGGTAAATTCAAACAAAATCTGCCAACTTTTATGGCAGAATCTAGGGCATTTCTTTCAAATTTAAGGTTATGTGCTCAAATTGTAAATATCTTAACTAAGGGAAGTGCTTTTGGATTTATTTACACAAATTAAATGTTTAAAGTTTAACCTGTGAACTGGTCCCAATTTCATCTAAGTAAACAGAAAGAAAAAAACTGATGAAAAAATTTTGTGGTTATGGATTGTTTAAAATTAGTGTCCGACCGAAGCTTCGGCTTCGGCTTCGGCCACCTTCGGCCAAAAAACCACATTCGGTCGCACATTCGGCTTCGGCCAAAATCAGCCGAAGGATTTTTGCCGAAGCCGAAGGTTTGTGTCCAGCCGCCGGCTTACGAATGAGGCGGACTTCAGCGCAGCTAAGTTATAATTATTGGATATGTCCTATTTATATTTTAACAATATACTAAACGCAATAACACTTTACTATTTATATTGTTATATATTTTTTTTTAGTTTATAAACTATAGTCAAGTCAATTTTTTTTAAGTCTTATTAGACCTTCGGCTTCGGCTTCGGCCGAAGGTTACAACAAGAGCCGAACCTTCGGCTTCGGCTTCGGCCAAAAACTGACATTCGGTCGGACACTATTTAAAATAGGTACTAAATTTTCTAATCATTGCTTAAGCTAATAGCTGGATGAGTAAATAAATACAGAAGGGTGTTAGAGCTTTAAGGGCCTAAAACTTTTGTATTTATTGAGTTTTTATTTATTTTTTGGAAGAAAAATTTTTAGTAACAATTTTTTACATCTGGCAACGCGTAGCTACTTTGTTGGTTGGTATCTATGTACTCACAGAATACAAGTTTGCAGATAAACCAAGTGTGTAACCAGTGGCGTATCACAAAAAATATAAAAAACTTTTAATGCATATTTTTTCTTTATCTTTGTAAAAATATTTTTTTAAATATTTTTCCTTTATTCTTTATGTCAAAAGGTATTCAGTATTTTAATATATAACATTAATTACATAACACCCTGTATATGTACAAATTAGCTTTTTCTTCGCCATGGTCTTTTAATCAATTGTTGTTTATTCACCAATCACTGGGCGAGTACAAGGATGATCCTTGATCTTGCTCACTTCCCAGTTCTTAATGAATAATGATGAGATACCAAAATAAACCAAATGGAATTCGTTTTGGAACTGATTTTTATTAAAAACTGTTGACCTAAAAATATTTTTTTCTACTCATTGACAAGTTGTGGCTTTTTGGCGCTTTTGTCACGGGCTAAAGTTAGCAACACATTTTAGTCACGGGCTGAAGTTAGTTTTAAGTTAGTTGACAGTTGTCAAATGTCATAAAATCGTTCAAATAAAGTGCCTTGTAAAATAATACTAAATGTGAAAATTACGGAAAATTATTTTGTTATTTCAATACAAAAATACGAAAGTTTTAAATAGTTTCTTAACGCCAATATTTGAAAAGTTTAGACTATTATAAAGAGTTTTTTCTTTTTCTTTTTTGAAGGACATTGAAAAATCGATAGAGTAATCCTAGACATAGTCTGTGTTAAAATATTAATATCAATATTTAGAGGTCACTCATCGCAATTTTCTATTTTTTATTTAGGTATCACAGGTGATTTTTGTTTGTTTCTTCAAATAAAGCAAATTGTATGCTCTACAAAAAGGTTATATTAAAAAAACACTCTAATAAAGATATTAAAAAATTTGCGTACAGTGCCCATAAAACATTTTCTTCTCTTTTACTGCTAAAAACGATATTTTTAAGGGATAAATTTTGATGTACACAGAAAAATTTGAGATTTTAACCCCGGTAGATTCCCAAGTTAGAAATTCTAACGGGAATTCCAATAAATCACTTTTTGTACCTTTAACATTTCCTGTGTAAGAATTTTTAATACTTTGTGATAATATTTTGCAATTATAGTTACAAAAAATCAAAGAATAATAGTATATTATGTATCAAGTTTGATAAACTCCATTTTATACACGAATTTAATTTAGGCACGAGCGAGCTTGCGAGCGAGTGCTTAAATTAATGAGTGTATAAAAAAGTTTATAAAGGAGGAGCATAGGTACTATACTTTTTCTACGACAAATACTTATTATTATCTTAAAATGATTTAAATCAAAACTTTGTATAGAGCGCCATCTAATGTCAAATTTTTGTATTTTATAAATACAATTATAAAGGTTATAAATCGAAATGTATTTCTTGAAAATTGACAGTTTTTCAAAGTGAAAGTAAAGAAAATGTTTTATGAGCACTTTACAGTGGAGTCCGTGCCCGAATTTAAGTTATAGTTTACTGCCGGCGATATTAAAAGGTCAGTACAATGTTCATATAAACTTTTTAAATATTGGCGTTGAGAAACTATTTAATATTTTTGTATTGAGATAATAAAATAATTTTCACATTTAGTATTATTTTACAAGAAAGGCACTTTATTTTAACGATTGTTTGACATTTGACAACTGTCAACTAACTTAAAACTAACTTCAGCCCGTGACTAAACACTTGTTGCTAACTTCAGCCCGTGACTAAAGCGCCATAAAGCCACAACTTGTTAATGTGTAATTAAAAGGTCACTTAGTGTCATGGAAACATGTACGATAAAGGGCGTTTTAAAGGTGGGAGTAGAAAAAATATTTTCCCAACAATCATATTTATTTTAATATTTTAAAGTATCAATAATTGTTAAAGTATAAACTATAGTTTAATTGAATTAATAACGCGCAATGTTAATGGTGAAAATTACGTCAACATTGGTTATTGGGGTGGTTACTTTATTTTCTTATAGATATCGCGCTTATACAAATATTTAATTTAAATAATTTTTTAGATAATATAAAGTATTTGTCCTAGAAAAAGTATAGTATGCAACTCGTTTATAAACTTTTCTAAGCACTCCACAGTGTGTTAAATTAATTATCTAGCTAGACAAAACCTAATTTAAAAACAACCTGAAATAAAGACAAATTTTATTAAATAGGCTTCTTCAGTTCTCCCTGTTATGATTTCCATTATTTAGAGCGTACTGCAACAGTGTATTTAGCACTATGCAGGCGCCACTTCCGGGCGTATCATTTTTTATAAACATACTTAGCCGTGTATGCGTTGCAAAAAGGTGGTTTGATTTAGATATTGTGTCAAGTTAAATCAAATTTTGAACTGTGCAGCTATGGATCTAGGTATATATTACTTATTTTTTATTATACGGGATTTATAATATAAATAATCAGCAACAGGCTATAGATATAGAAATTCACTTGGTGTTATTAAATATGGACAATATGTATTAAGCAAGAAATATTGTAATCGAGCAATATCGGGTGCACTATCAATATTTGTTTTGTTTTATAACGTCTACAGATTACTGATGTGCCTTTATTTATTGCCCCAATTTGCCTGTTCTACAGGGTGTAACCAAAAACCGACGCACTCCTTCTCCACTAGTAAATTTTTGAATAGAGTTGAAATTTGGGAGTAATAATAAAGAGTTAATTTATAATTATTTCAACCTTCAATGGATACCACCCGGTATCCGGTTCCCCGGAAATAATGCCAAATTTCGTTTTCTCAATGAAATACTCTGCATATTTTTGTATATTTCAAATCAGGAGAAAATTTTGAATTCAATACTTACACTATCGCGGGATTTTTAAAATGATCTTAATTTTTGTTGTAATTTAAGTTTTCCATAAGTGTAATTTTAGTGGAAAACACTAAACAACTTTTTATGACATTGGTGGGTTTTGATTGGGAAAACATCTGGATTTTTAAAAACATTTGTATGGTATTTAAAAAAGTTGAGTTAATTAAAAAAAACAATTGATCAGCAACATTTACTATTTATGCATTTAATTGCAAATTTGGATGGTAAAACAAATTCATTCTCCAAAATTGCAGCTTTCTGGATTTAAAAAATAAAACTGGACAAAAATTTAAGGTCAATTGCAAAATGGTAGCGAATGTGCATCTATCGGATTCAGAATTTTCTCCAGATTTCAAATATACAAAAATATACAGGGTGTTTCTTAGGAAAAACGAAAGTTGACCAATTTCCGACGAAACCGAAAGTTTATTTTTTATTGCAAGGGGCCGGCCATTTTGTAATGAACGAATTTAATTTCTGCATTTTGGATGTCAGATTTGGATTCAGTGAACCCAAATTTCCCGTTTACAGAGAAAATTTATAATTTTTTATGTCATTTAGGTTTTGTCTAGCTAGATAATTAATTTAAAACACTGTGCACTCCCTCGATAGCTCGCTCGCGCCTAAATTAAATTCGTGACTAAAATGGCGTTTATCAAACTTTATACATAATATACTATTTTCTACTCTTACCTTTAAAACGCCCATTATCGTACATGTTTCCATGACACTAATTGACCTCTTAAATACATATTAACAAGCTACGACTTTATCGCTTATTAGTCACGGGCTGAAGTTTTAAGTCAGTTGATAGTTGTCAAATGTCATAAAATTGTTAAAATAAAGTGCCTTTCTTGTAAAATAATACTGAATATAAAAATTATTTTATTATCTCAATACAAAAGTATTGAATAGTTTCTCAACGCCAATATGTGAAAAGTTTAATGAATTTCGCCGACGGAAACTGAATTCAACTTAATTTCGGGTGGAGACTCCACCGAGGAGTGCCAATAAAACATTTTCTTTATCATTGTAAAAAAATGATTCTATATCGGTTTACCAGTCCATTTTCGAGGGATACATTTAAAAGATCAGACATCAGTTTTAAATAATCTGAATTAATCTGAATTAAAACAAAAACACCCGCTCTACACACACTGCAACACAAACTGCCATCCACCACATCTTCAGTCATGTGATATAAAACCATTAATTAGAGCAAGCCCAAGCTCCAATTCTCTCGCCTCAAGCAGCGACAAATAGACGCGAACTCGTAAATTGTAAAAAATATTCAGTACTGGAATTAACCTGGAATTTTATAAAAAAAAGATATTTTTCCTTGATTTTTTTATGAAACCTGGAATTACAAACATAATTATTCTATTTGAACTTTGCGTTAAAGAAACGAACTGTAAAATATTGAAAAATAAAATTGCTTACTCCAATGATCGCTAGTGGTGTTTTTAAACAGCCCGCTGTTGACTAGCTTTATTAGAGTACCGAGAGGTGACGCCACTAGCGGCGTGCTGGGGGTTGCCATAAATTATAAAAATTAAAATTATTTTTTAGTCATAGATTATAATTTATAAACCCCGATTTCCGTAAAAAACAATATTTAAGGGTGGTAATTGCAGTAAGATTGGAAGATTAATAGTTTGCAGGTACATTTTAATATTTAGGCAATATTGTTTTCAGTTTAATTAGTTTATTAAACTCTTTTAAATCCGCTAGTGGGGTTGACAACATTTGAAACAATTCGAATGCTGATTAGCATGGAATGGTTTTAACCACGGTCTTATACATATAAAATTATGGTTTTAACCCTTAACTACTGTAGTAACATACTAATGTAGGAACTTTATAAATGATATATAGGTATATATATAGTAAGTAACTAAGTAATAGTTATGGTGGATTTAAGCCTGATTTATAAATTTCCTTTCTTCCTCCCGTAAATGGTGAACAATACGAAAATCGTAGTGCCATTTATAAATTCCCGTACGGGATAATGAATTGAATATGGCAATAATGTACTGCGGTCTTGCAATTAACACCTTAAAGGCGTTTAAAATTTCAGCTTAATCGGTTGGTCAAAAAATTTAACCAAACGATTAACCTGAAATTTGAAAGATTTGTGGACACAGTTTACAAGTAAAGCATATGTGTGATGAAAATATTGTATTTTTAAGGTAACTTGGTCATTCAGTGGATACCATTAAAACAAATATATCATAACGCTCCTCTACTGATGTACCGCGTATATTTCGCCTGTAACGGTGAAAGGAAACATGTTTACACCGTGAATGACTGGAGGGTTGGAAGAATGGTGTATCCCGGACAGTCTAAGTTGCACAATTGCGAAGTCCTTGTATCAAGTCTAAACTCCATAGGTCACTCAGATGCTGAACCCGAAAAAATTATGTCGGAGAACGGTAAGTGTTAAAAACCGGTATGCTGATGCGCATGTTATAGCTATCTTTCTCGCACCGTGTGACGTCATGTGCGAACCAAAAGCTGGCAGGTAACTGGGTTGGAATGTTATTTGCATTGCAAATTCAGGTTATATTCAAAAATTTATAAATATAAGAACGGCCTGGGTAGAATTATTAAGTGTCACAAATGTTAAGAGAAGGTTAAATTGGCAGCAATAACTTCCTATTATTATTTTTCAAAATATTTTTTATTTAGTTCCGATACAATTGTGATTTAATTTTTAATATTAGTAAGAACTTATGCAAGCTGTACAAAAATATTTGGTTAGGGTGAAAAGTTACTAGTAACAGAAAATTTTGTATACCAAAAATTGCATTTACTTACCTGGTATAAAACACCCGTGCGTGGCTTATACTTTAAGTAATTACCTAATGTACAACTTGTTGAATTTTCATAATTTTATAGTTTTTATTCATACTTAAAAGTAACTTAGTTACTCAAAAGTATCTTGTAACTCAAAGTATCTAGTTACCAGAGGTAACTAAGTTATTTTGTTTAAAGTATCTTAAAAAAGTAACTAGATACTTTTCAAAAGTAACTTTCCCAGCTTTGAAAAAAACTAAAAAAAATCGTAGCAAAACATGCCTATGCCTATGCAAAACTGTTTGTAACATTTGAATCTGATTCGCACATGCGCGGAGTACGAGTTTTCGTTTCATAACCAGCACACTAGGTAAATTGTTGTATACAGTGCTTGCAATATCAAGTCCGACCGGGCTGGGAAGGACGGTTGTTCAATACCCTCGTGAAAAGAACAATGAAATTTAAGCGACTTGTGATTTTGACAAATTTTCATTTTTTTTTATATATTTTGAGAACCACTGATTTTTTTGCAATATTTAAATGCCATATTAAATAAAACGCATGTAAGTCTTAACTTGTCTCTAATTTAACTACTGTTGTAATTTTAACCGTTTCCGATATGGAAATGCTTTCGCATGGCAATTTAAAAACCCTGTATAAACAAGGTTTTGTGTTCGCTTTATTTTTTATACAGGCTGATGAAGATTTTTTTCAATTGTTTTTTATTAACTCCGAAACTATACTCACTGCAAACTAGGCGGAAACGGAATTATATAAACATAAACTTTTTGTCTTCAAATTATGCACAAATCAACCCTCTTCAATATTGATATTCAATCATGAAACACCCTGTTTATTGCTATTAAAACTTAAGCATATTGATGAGTGGATTTTTTTATCCTGACTGTATATAATAAACAATGCAGTAACATTTTTGTCATCACTGTTTATTTAATTTTCCGCCCTAGCCAGAGTGCCAGGGGTGTCAATCCTGGGGTCCCGATAAAGCCTGGTTCATATAGATGCGACATGCGAATTTGCGAAATGCGAAAATGTTTTCATTGGTCCATTTGATTTGGCGGGAAAAGTGTTTCGACGTTTCGACAAATTCTGCATTATTTGAAATCTGGGGGGCGGGAATCTTGAGATTGATCCAATATTTTGCGAAAATCGCACGAATTTGGCGTGATGCGCATGCGCATTAATGCAGATGCCTATTATACGTATTTGTTATATGTATCCGCGCCATTTTTGTTTATGTTCTGTGTTTATTTCATTTATATTGCATCGTTGTTGAGTTTTATTTGAAATGTTTCTTGCTAAAGTTGTTTTTTGTTCTTTATAATGGACAAAGAGTTTTTGGAGGTACATTAGTTTCTTATTTTACCTTATAGTAGCATATTTTTTTAGAAGTAACTTTACTATTTAAGTACCTACCTATAGAAAATGTTAACCATACTTGCAAGTATGGCAAATATCTCCTGGAGAGAAAATAATGTCCCTAAAATACCATAGCAAATATCGCCTAGTGAGAAAACAATGTCCCTAAAATGGTTCCGACAATTCGCATCTATATGAATAGGAGCTACGAAATGCGAATATTCGTATTTCGCAAATTCGTAAATTCGCAAATTCGCATCTATATGAACTCGGCTTAAAAATCCGATCCCGAAAATTCCGGGATCTTGATAAAATATACTTTTTTTTCAAGCGTATGGCAATTTACGCAGTTTAAAAGTCAAATTATTATACACCGCCGTACAATAATGAAAATACATTGAAATTACATGGCACGAGTGGTTCCATCTATCGCATTTAGCTCGAAATCAGTGTAGGTAAATGTAAAATTGCATGTCACTGTAGAATAAATGTATGTACTATTGCGGCCGATAAAAAGTAATCGACTAATTTTCCCGTTGTAAATATGGTTGTCACCAGTGGCATTTCAAAAATAATTTTATAAAATTAAGTAACGTCATCTTAAATTAAGTAAATCTTAAATTAAGTAAAGTCATTATTTAATATTGCCTTACGATACTTTAAGTGAAGCAGAGAAAGGCTATATTGTCGCCAAAATTGGAGAAGGATGGTCTCAACAACAAATAGCAGTTGAAATAAACTGCAGCAAAAGCTCTATTCAAAAATTAAACAAAAAGTGGGTGGAAACTGGTGACCTGAGTAGGGTAATGGGCGTCCAAGAAAGACAACTCCAGTAAACGACAACGAGTTGGTTGAATATGTGAGGCAAAACCCATTTTCTAACTCCATTCAAGCCAAAGAGGAAACCAACTTCCCAGCATCTGTTAGGACGGCAAGAAAACGGTTGCGAGAACAAGGTTTATTTAACTGCGTGAGTGCTAAAAAGCCTCGCTTGACGGATGTTAATAAAGAGGCAAGAGTGGAGTTTGCAAATAATTTTTTAAATCAAAACGCTGAATATTGGGAGCGAGTAGTCTTTTCAGATGAAAAAATATTTCAATCCTGCTACAATGGGCAACTGCGAGTTTATCGTCCCAGACAACAGCGGAAGATTTTCTATCCACCCGTGGGCGTGGATATCATCTTCAGGGGCTGGTAAAATTCATATTGTAGAAGGCCGATTAACTGGGAACCGATACGTGGAAATTTTAAACGATGTAATGCTCCCGTCAATGCAAGAAAGATTTGATAATGATTTTGTAACACTTTATGATTTATCTTTCCTGCAGGAAAGTGTTACATGATCAAAAAAATATTTTTTTTCATTTTAAGGATAACTCGCCAGTTTACACTGCTCATGTGGTTCATAATTGGCTAGAAGAAAATCACATTACAACGCTTCCTTGGCCGTCAAGAAGCCCCGATTTAAACCCAATCGAAAATATTTGGGGATATCTCGTAAAAAAATATATATAAATATGAATTTAGACCAAGAAATAGAGAAGACCTTATTAATGGAATTCAAAATGAGTGGCACAATTTGGAAAAAAATTACGATATTCAAAATTTAATTAGTTCCATGCCTAGGAGGTTACAAAATGTTATAGAGAAGAATGTTGGTTCTACCAAATATTAATTATTTTTTTAAAATGGAGTTTTTATAGCATTACAAATGTGTAAGATTATGTAAGATAATGCCTGAGGGGGGGCTGAATGAAAAAATTGCCAGGGCCGGTTTTTCTGAGCCCATCCAACCCTGGTTGGCTCATATGAGATATCTTTTATAATTTTTATAGTCGTAGTATACTATTTCTATTTTAAGTTTAAATTTATTTATTTTGGTTACCCAATAAATAATTTGTTCTTTTTGTTTGTATTACGAATAAACATGCTTTATATAATTTAAGTTTTTTTTATTAAAAAATTAAATATGTCATACACCTATGATTTCTTGTCAAAATAATTTAATTGACATGACTGACGTAAAAAACCCTACTTACAATAGCCAATTTTTAAGAAAAACATACAACTTGATAAAGAATCGATTACTTTTTATCGGCCGCAATAGTACATATAGTCCGGTCAATCTAGACATTCGAAGGTACATAAATTTACAACAAGCTGAAAATCAGTAAAATTGTTCAGAATATAATTATAAATAAAATTTTAAAGTTCCCCATCATTCCCCCCTGTATGGAAAATTTTTTATTCAAGGTCAAAGGTCAAAAAATTATTTTTCGCGATTTTCAGCAAAACGGTAAATTTTATCATAAAAATACACCAGACAAAAATTGTAGGTCATAAAATAATCTATAAAATATGTTTTAATACTTTTTTTTTCTACGAGCCACCGTTTTTGAGATATAATGATTCGAAAGGGTGTAAAAGTTATAATCGCCATAATATGCACACGTTTCCACGCCACATATGAGGTAGTTTACTTAGCGCGTTTTTTAACGTAGTTTCCCCAGTAGGCCTATTTCACGGGTCAGTTGTGATCCTGTTTAATTTGAAACTATTGCAAAATATCGGAAATTAGCAATAATTGGAAAAGATAATAGCGATGTAAATTTAAAAAAGTACTGAAGTTTATTCGTCTCATTCGTGACATTTAAATTCTTCTACTTGATCTTCTTCTTGTTCTTGTTCTTCTTCTTCTTCTTGTTCTTCTTCTTTTCTTCATCTTCATCCTGGGTAGAAGTAAATTGCGTCAATAGCGATGTATCGCATGTCACCTCGTTGGAATTAAATAAATCCTCCACTGTTGATGATTCAACATTAGAGCACGACCGGCCTTGACAATTCATACATGCCAGAGAATAAAACAGTCCGACTTTTTTGCAACCACATTTAGCACTGCATCCCTTTTTGCAGTTGCAAAAAATTGTGTTCAGCAGTTTTTCCTGCGCAGGTGGGAGTAAAGTTTGAACTGGTTCTAATGTGTTGTTGACCAACTTCCAACCCCAGTCTGTAGGGTCTAGCTGATAACCAAGCCACACTTGAACTTGGTAATATAACCGAAAAAGATGTTGATGAGCAGCAACTGAGGTTGGAGGAAGACAAGCTAATTGAACTTGTTTTTTACTTTTAGAATTTTTAAACATGCATATCGATACTTATCAAAGCAGGTAGTTTTTTTAGGAGCTCCGTATATAGAAAGAAGAAATCGAATGCCGTTGGTGATAACTTCTTGTCCCGAAGCACCTTTTCCTCGAGTTGGCCGAAAAATCTCCGCTCGTTCGAAAGTTAAGCGAAGACAACGGAACGTGCCAAATTTGACGGAAAAATCGAAAAAAAGTGGACTTGGGCCTTTTCGACACCGGAAAAATTTGGTCCGCGAATAGGTCTCTTGGGCAGAAAAAACGGATGCAAATTTCAACCTTCAACGGCCTCCGAGCTACGGCGCTTAGAAAAAAAAGGATATACAGACAACGGAAAAAATCAATATTGCAAACGGGCCGGATCCGCCGGAAACTTTTCGAACAGCGTTCTTTTTTTATTTTTTTCGAAAAATTTTTAAACGTTTTTTAGGGCGAGAGAAATTTTCGAAATTGGCCGAACGAAATACACGAATCGACGGGTAAAAGACCAAAGTTTGACATACTAAAAGATGAGCTTCATCGAATGAATACTAATCGGCCAGAAGCCTGTTTAATTTTTGTTGGGTATTTAATAAAGTTAACCAATTAAAATCTGTGTAGGTATGTGTACTACACAAAATACCTTTAACAAAAATTGTAGATCATAAAATTATCTATAAAAAATGTATCAATACTTTTTTTCCTACGAGCCACCGTTTCTGAGATATAACGATGCGAAAAGTACACAATGTGTAGGTATACTTTATATTTTAAGTGTAAGTTAAAATGACCGATAGAAAAATATTTTAACATATATTACAACTCTAGAGATGTATATAGGTGGCGTACTCATGCATATTATGACCATTACAACTTTTACAACTTTTCGCATCGTTATATCTCAGAAACGGTGGCTCGTAGGAAAAAAAGTATTGATACATTTTTTATAGATAATTTTATGATCTACAATTTTTGTTAAAGGTATTTTTATGATAAAACTTACCGTTTTGCTAAAAATCGCGAAAAACTAATTTTTTTGACCTTTGACCTTGAATAAATTTTTTTCCATACAGGGGAATGATGGGGAACTTTAAAATTTTATTTATAATTATATTCTGAACAATTTTACTGATTTTCAGCTTGTTGTAAATTTATGTAACTTCACTGTTATTTTTTGGTCTAATTTGACCGGACTACATAACAGTTACAGTAACTTATAATATATCATATTTCAAACGTCAAACTTGAAAAAATGTCACAAACTTGATAATTTCAATGTAAGTTACAGCCCCAATTGGAACTCACCAAGGCCCGATTGATAAAAGAAATGGAATTATTTGTTAATGGGGGTAAACGCGGGTACAATGTGCCTACGAATTCTTGAAATCCATTCCTTAAACTAGTATAAAGTCTGAAAGATATCGTTCGTTAGTTTTTTTGTTTCTTTATTTTAAATTGATTTTAAAATTAATGATATATATTTTTCCCGGGATCCCGGGTAGCGACGCGTTGCTACGGCCCTGTACATGCTTTCTTTCAGTTGTTAAAATAATAATTTAATCTAATTTAAAAATGATATTGTTATTGATTTTATAAATTTATTTTTCAGATGCAACTAAAAGACTTGACAGGAACTATGTTCCGGATTTTACTTGGGAATATGTGAAACGATACGAAAGAAATTGCACAATTGTTGTTAAAACTATTCCTAGTGAGGTAAGTTAATATCTTAATAAAACCTAAACTTTTAAATTTGCTAAAATAGTTAAAACACAAAAGAACCAATACAAACTAAATCCGAACATAAAATGTCTGCCTATACAAAACTAGGGTAGAATTTCCATTTTGAGATACAGGGCGTTGTGTAATTTTTCTTTTTAATAAAAATGACAAATTATCTTAAATTATTATGCAGTTATATCCAAACAAATACTTATTTAAAAGATTTTTGTTTTTTAATAATATACCGGGTGGCTATTTTTTCTTGATAATGTATTTTTTATCAAACCATATTTTTTTTCGCACGCCGCTTGATAACTGAATTAGATTTCTTGGTCTATTACAAAATTTTTGCCACCTGATTTTTTTATATCTTGGCTCATTAAAAAGTTGTAAAAGTAAAGTCTAATTTTACATTAATATTAGCAAAAACTGTTAGAAAAACCTTTTTTAGGAAACTAATTTAGTTAATAGTTAAATTTAATTGAGGGAGTATTAAATTAAAAATAATTTAATTTTTGCAATGTTTTGTTTTTATCATAACTAATTTTATTAAATTTACTATTGTCAGTAGGTATGCCATGATTGGAAAATATTATGATATTTATTGGTGAATATATTGAGATGTCCCCAAGTGAAAATTATTATTTTTTATTTTTCGTTATTTCACTGTTAGTCTAGAATGGGTGGAATGGGAAGCCACCAGGTCTAGTAAAAACATAACATAAGTGGTTCTGCACTAGTGCAAGAATTTTAAGAAATCATACATTTTGAATATTAGAGCTTCACGGAAGATAGCTTCATGGAGGTTAGGATTTCGTATGTTTTTTTTTTGGGTACCCAAAAAATGAGCTTATGAAAAGTTTTCCAAAACTGTACTATCCTTTTTTTCGCTCTACAGGCTCAGAATAATTATTTTCGATTAAAAGCGTGAACTTGTGAGTCAATTTTCAAATAATTGTACCATAAAATTAAAAAAAAACAGAAATTTTGATGTTAATCAAACTTCGAACTCGAATAACTCTAGAAGAAATCAATTTATCCAAAAATAATAAGAGACCTTTTTTGTAAAGCGTTAGTAACGCTTTACAAAAAAGGTCTCTTATTATTCCCACGCTTTACAAAAAAGGTCTCTTATTATTCCCACGTGTCCTGGAAAACCTGGAAAACCTGGAATTTGTAAAAAAAATATTCAGTACTGGAATTAACCTGGAATTTTATAAAAAAATGTGTTTTTCCTTGATTTTTTTAAGGAACCTGGAATTACAAACATAATAATTCTATTTGAACTTAGCGTTAAAGAAACGAACTGTAAAGCTGGGTCCACATTAGTAAAAAATTACGTTGTATGTCGAATTCACAATGCGGCACAAATTTTTGCGCCGGAAATGTGCTATAAATGTTGCATAAATATTTACGCTGTGCAACGTGCGTTCTTGCTCAAAACGTGTGTGAGTTGTTTAAGGTTAGGTTTTTGTTTGATTTTATTTTAATAGTTTATTCGTCAATTAACATCCTAGACAAAGATTCTAGGTCTAGGATTAACAGTTTAATAAGTTTAATAGTTTTCTTTGTTTTCTTTATAAGATGATGCAAGACGATAAATGCAGCACATTTTCTTTTCATTATTGCAGACATAGTACAACCATTGAGTAAGGTGGGTCTTACTCAATGGTACAACACAGATCATATAAACGTTGGAATTAAATTTAATAAAAAATAATTTGACAGAATCAATGTGTTCCCGAAAAGTATCTACCTACGTCCACACTAGAACAATGTGCGGCGCAAATTTCTTTGATGTTTTGAGAAAAACCGACAAGCAACGGATCTCGTGCGTTGAATGTGGCAAAAATTTTTGCGTACGTAGTTATGCGGCACACAGGTACACACTTACATAAATTTTTACGGCACATAAATATTTGTGTCGAATGCCACGCACGACGTAAATTTTTACTAATGTGGACCCAGCTTAAAATATTAAAAAATGCTTACTCCAATTGCCGCTAGTGGTGTTTTTAAACAGCGCGCTGTTGACTAGCTTCATTAGAGTACCGAGAGGTGACGCCACTAGCGGCGTGCCACATATACTTACCACACATATACCGCTTATTGCCTATATTTTGAATAGATGACCTTGTTCCCGTTTTTAAGGGGAGGGTGGCTACTCTCTACCTTTTGCGCACGGTCAGTTCAAAAGTGGGAGATTAAAAAATCAATAATGTTTGTTGGTTATGAATAAATACAAATGTCAGTTTAGGAATTTAGATTATTTTGGAAAAATATTAAAAAACAAGTTTAAACATCCGAAAAGTGGCATAAAATCATTACTTTGTCAGAAAAATCACAAAATAGAGAGGATAATAATATGACTTTAATTGTGTTTATTTATTCTTTTGGCATACAAAAATTGGGATATTTGTAAGAGTTTTTAAACCTATCCATCTAAGGCATAGATAAAAGGTTCTAGGATTTAAGTGCGAAATATAGGGTTGGTTACATTAGTGCTGTTGTAGTGTTTTAAAAAGTAAACTAAGATGGTTGATTATAAGCTTCTCGCTTGGGTAATAAAATGCGACGTAGCCAAATTTCTAATGCTAAACAACATTTTTATAAAATTAAAAAAATATTACTTATTTTTATTATTAAAACTTAAAAACATCATTAATATAATTTTTTATAAATTTTGCGATATAACATAATTTATAAGCTTTATAATAACGAAAATTATATTAGAATATAATTACATCTGACAACACGGCAAAACTGCATAAGTAGCTAGCTCCTACTTTAACCCCACGAAAAGGAAACAGCCTGAATCCAAAATGATCTGTATATGTGTGGTAAGTATATGGCGTGCCATAACAAAATTTTTTAGTCATAGATTATAAACCCCGATTACCGAAAAAAAAACAATATTTAATTGCAGTAAGATTGGAAGATTAATAGTTTGCAGGTACATTTTAATATTTATACAATATTGTTTTCGGTTTAATTAGTTTATTAAACTCTTTTAGCTAGTGATGTTGACAACATTTAAAACCATTAAGCATGGAATGGTTTTAACCACATATAACAAACATATAAGATCATGGTTTTTAACCCTTAACTACATACATCCTAATGTAGGAACTTTATAAAAGACCCCCGGTATTTATTATAAATAGAGTATAAATTTATACTATATTTATAATAAATATATTTATATAATATGTATATAGGTATATAAAGTAAGTAAGTAAGTAAGTAAGTAAGTAAGGAATAGTACCTATGGTGGATTTAAGCTTGATTTATAGATTTCCATCCTGTACGGGAATCTATAAACAGCACAACGGTTTTTATATTGTTCATCTTTTACGGGAGAAAGGGAGGAAAGAAGGAAGGCAATATATAAATTAGGCTTTATGCAGCACACATTAAAATTAATTTAACATTAACATAAAGTTTACATTAAGCTAATTTAAGGTGGGTATTTTATGCAGCAAAATTAGTGGCAAGTTAATCGTGCGTATAAGCATAGATTATATAAGTTAAGTATAAGTTAAAGTAATTTTGACATCTGACATTTTTGGTTTTTTGGATTTTGTTTTAACCCCGTCTTAGCATCTTTTAGGCAAAATGAATGAAAACTAAGTATAAACCACTATGTTCTATAAACTGCACCTTAAACAATAAACCAAAGAACACAATTGTTGAATAAAAAATGAATCATTCAGCAGCAAGTTTCATTTTATTTTCGGGTATGTTGGCATTACTGACACGGTTTATTTAAAAATTGCGCCGCAACCTGTGCTGGAGGAATAAAAATTAACATTATCATCTCAACTTAATGTTAATGTTAATGTGTTGAATAAAAGCTTTTAATGGATTACGTTTATTTAACTTCTTGATAGTCTTAATGTTAATGTTAACTTAATGTTAATTTGTGCTGCATAAATCCAGCAATATTTAATAAAGTGTGTTATAACTTCTCAAATAAAAATAAGTGAACGTTTATAAATGCCATTTAAACAATAACCCTATTATAATCTTAAATAAATAAATAGCATTTGCAACAGGAAAAATTATTAAAAAAAACTAAACGTTAAGTGGTGCAAAATTCTGCCTATTTTTAATGTTTCTTTATTCTTTTAATTTTTTTAAGGCCTAGGATTATAATCCTTCTATTTTTCCCTTAAGGTAGGTAATAATAAAAAAAATCACATTTTCATAATTCAGAAACCAGTTTTATTATAAAATAAAAAATATATACCTAAATACTTACTTATTTTTTACAGATTGCGATTTTTTACTATTAAGTAGTTTTCACAAAACTTTGGTTGATAATTATTTTAAGTGCAAAAAATTAACATAGATGCGTCTATACGCGTATATACGCGTATAGTCCCCAAAATCGCAAAATTGTAACCATATACTGGCAAAAAAATTTGGATACCTGTAGTTAAGGGAAAAATAAACTCAATTTTTTTGGGAGAAAGTTTGTTTTAATAAAATTATATTTTTAAAATTAAAAAATGTCCTTGATTTGTTTTAAATGTCATGGAATTGTCCTGGAAAAAACCTGGAAAAAATTAATGGAAAGTTCGTGGGAACCCTAGTTACATTTTATATAAGAAACTAGGGATGCACCGGAATTCCGGCGGTACCACTAAATCCGGCCGATCCGGTCAGTTGGCCGGAACTACCGTTCCGGCCGGATCGCTTTCCAGGTATTTTGTAATTGGTCAACAGTGAAGGGTGTCCGTGTTTCCTTGCCTATGATAGACCGGCGGCTGTGGTTCCCCGACTTCTTTTTAATTTTTTTTTATTATTGGCAGGTGGCTGCTATTCTCCAATTGAATGAGTAGAATTGTTTTAATTTTGTTAACGCTAATTAAAAATTAATATTTAAATAAACAGTAATTTCTATCTAGGTAAAATTAATAGTATTATTACTATATAATCAGCCTCAATATTTTCAATGTTCTACGTATAAAAATGGGCATGCACATACATTTTAAATTTAGGTCCCGATCCGGCCGGAATTCCGGCGATCCGGTCCGGCCAGCGGCCGAAATTCCGGTTCCGGCCGGATCGGCAAAATACCCGATCCGGTGCATCCCTATAAGAAACTGCAATGATCATTGCCATAAGTTCCTTTTATACAAGTGTAAACATTTCAATTTAGGAATAATCGTCAAACAAATAAGTTGTCTTAATTTAAACAGCATTTAGCATTGTTAAAAGTCTCCACTCGGTAAAATACCATTATACTATGTATTATATATAATATTATGTTGCCATGAATTCGTAGGTATATTTTGTTGTTAAAAATGCAGTTGTCGGCGTTTTTTAGAGATCTCAAATATAAAAATGGTTGTTTTTAAGGTTATGTTTGTGCAACAATTATTTTTAACAATTTTCTTAAAAATGTCCAAACTTAAATATAAATTATATTAGGTAAAGTTATCATTAGTTAATTCTGCACCAAAAAATGTACTTACCGAATTGGATCCTTTGGCAAATTTACAATTAAAAACACCATGATCCCTTGGATAAAATACACACACTAACGTAACTATATAAGCATTTAAGCGTTAAGTTTCTTAATCAATGATATAAAGAATAATCTATCTCTTTCCTTGCAACGTAAAACACAAATAACTTGCAGGTTTAGCTGTGCAATTGAACAAAATTTGTCGAGACTTCTGCCTTCCTCTCTTTTGTGAAAAAACTACCTATTTATTAAAAAATGATGTTCAGTTCGTATATACGAACTGTCACAATGACAATTCTTAAATTCACGCAATGCTTTTGAAGTCCACCAGATGGCGTGCGCGTTGCGAAAACCCGATACTTCTTTAGCGTATATCATGTAAGATATCAAAAACACGCAATTAACAAAAAGTTTGTAAACAGACCAAGTTATCTTCTTAGTTATTAAATTAAACCAGCGGCGTACAAGAAAAATTTTTAAGTTTAAGACTACATCGGGAAAAAATAGCCACCCGATATAATATTAGATTAAATGCATAAAATTTAAATAGTTAATATAATATCGAAGTGTATATGTACAGAGGCGCCTCTGTAGATAAAGTTACGGTTATGTACAGAGGCGCCTCTGTTGATAAAGTTACGGTTATGTACAGAGGCGTCCCTGTAAAAATATCAATATACAGAGACGCGTTGACTTGTATTAAGTATACTATAGTGTTATATGGTTTAAATTCATTTTATTTTCAAACATTAGGTACCATATATTTGAAATGCTAGCGACTAGAGGCACCGAATTATCTTGGCTCCCTGGCTCCTAGACATGCGCGTTTTATAGAAATGTACTCAAACTCAACAACACAACCCAACCGACCCCGCCCCATTGGCCCCCCCCCCGCCCAATGAGCAAAAAAACCAACTAAAATGGGATAATTTATGTAATTAAAAAGTGTTTTATTTTTATCGTAACATAAATTTGCCCATTTTAGTTGGGTTTTTTACTCAATGGGGCGGGGGGGGGCCCTATGGGGCGGGGTCGGTTGGATTGTGTTGTTGAGTTTGACTACATTTCTATAAAACGCGTCTCTAGGAGCCAGGGAGCCAAGATAATTCGGTGCCTCTAGACGCTCGTTAATCTGCCTCTGTACATAACCGTAACTTTATCTACAGAGGCGCCTCTGTACGTATACACTTCGATATAATATTTTAAAAGATATTAAATAAAAACTTAACTTAAAACAACCTGAACTTATCTCAAAGAGGAAGCAAACAAGACCAAATGAATTAATTTGGTTGAAATTTTAAAATAATTAAGTAAATTTCATAGAACAAAAATATTTATTTGTTTTATATTATTTATATGTCACAACTCAGGAAGGTGTTCGTAATGTAATGTAAGTTTTTTGTTTTGTTTTAATATCGATAGCTTTAAAGTCTGGCAAAGACAGGCTCTCAGTGACGTCAAAAGTCCGATTTACCCAGCACAAATTTATATTTGAATTACTCATGTAACTGGGTATACTTGTGTCACACGAATTGGAATGTTAGAAACATTATTAAAATATTATAAAGTTATAAAGTGCTCTTTTAGTTCCACCCTTACATCCAAACTAAGATGTCCCATAAGCCAACTGAATGGCTTGTGCGGGTTAGGGGTAGGAACGGACCGACGGCTTAAAGTCCCCTCCGAAGGACTAAACTGGTTGCAGGGTTCCTGGTAAATGCGACGGTGTAATGCGGAAGCTGTTTAAACCAATCCAATTTAATGTATCCCGACCACAGACCTGTTGGTCTGTGATCCCGACCCAAAAATAAACGTCACTGAAAGCTTATCTTTGCCAGACTATAGGCCTAGTGTATTTATAAATAAAGCATGTTTTTAATGTTTTTGAAATGTTGAGTTAGTATTACTATTTGTACTATTAGAACGTGTGTTGCATGGGCAATTTAAATTTTTTAAAAGCTTGCTATAAAGGGTGTTCGGCAATTAGAGGACAAAAATTAAATGTCATAACATCGAAATCTAAGCATAAAATAAAGAATATATTTTTTCGTCTTCAGGTGAATACTTAATAATGGTGGGACAATTTGTTTTTATATTTTCAACCCCTAACCGTGGGTTTAATGAGAGTGATGCCTCATTTTGAATATCTTCTGACCCTCATTATATCCACCAAAAAACTTTTTTTTTCGTAACACCTGATAAAATCGGGGTGAAAAGTTTCCATTGGCCCACCCTGTATATTAAACAGGTACATTGAAGCACAGGTGTGACAAATCTGTGCATGGTTTAATTTCAAGATCACATCTATTTAACAATGGTTTCCAGACGTTTCTTATGTCCAATATAAACAAATAATCCAATCCAATAGTCCAAAATAAATTTTTGCGATTTTGCGCCTTTAAGTTAAAAAAAAATAAGTACCGATAACATCTTTGTTAAAAATATTACTAATTTAAGATTATTAAGTCAAAGAAGAACAGAGCACGGTCTTGTGTTTCTTTAAAAATTATTAAATAATTTCATTAACAGAATAAAAAGTTAAAAAGAATAAAAAAATCTATAAACATAGCGGATATGAAAATTATTATCTAGAGGCCTAAAATATTTTTTTTTATTTTTTCTGTTCACCTGAAACCAATAAATATATATTAACGTGTTAAATTTGGTGCGCTAATAACCAGAATTATTTGTTTAAAACTCTGCTTTTGAAGAAGGGAACTTTAAAGTGGTAATTTTATAGGAAACGTGGAAATCACTTAAGCATGTAGCAAGAACTTGGCAATCACCACCGCAATTATATAATCAAACTTTGCCACATTCAAGGTTTGGGAAAAGTTCCGAAATCGTTGCCAAAACTGATATACCCACTTTACTACTACTACTACCACTTCAAAGTAATACTTAAGGGATTTGGTAAAAGTTACTATTCATAATCCACTCTAAAGTTTGGACAACTTTAAGGTGGTGTTAAAAGTGGTAATAACATTTCAGATACCAGACTAATACACCAAAAAGTTATAAAACTTTAAAGTATATTCTGCTGGTGCAAATCACATGATAACAACTATGCTAATACAATATGGAACTGTATCGTGGTAGATTTAGTTATTTAAACGTTATTGCCACTCATTTGAAGTGGTGATCAGTTTTCGTCACTATAATGCTACTTGGGTTGGTAACCCTGTTAAAGCAAGCTAGCCCCTACCCCCCTTCAAAATTGTTTATTTTTTAGCTGGATTGGAAGTACACCGCCTTTTATTTGAAGTATAGGAAGAAGTTCCAGTCGGACTTCACCCGCACCGCATCGGAATCTATTAACGGCAACCTGACCATCACGGGACTTGAAAACAATGCATTGTACGATATTACACTTGTCGTTGTTTCTAAAGATAGGAATCGTTACTCAAAGGTGCAGGTTATATCCACGTACGAAAACACTTCTTACACGTAAGTTACTTTTGACATAATTAATTTTTGAAATGGTATATTTTTGTTAATTTTTTAAACAATTGGGAACATCAGGAAAAATTGGAGAATGACGATTTTTTCCATTAAAATCTAAAATATTAGTAGAAGTTATGTTTTCATTGGTTTATCCATAGACACATTAAAAGAAAGAACGCGTAACACCTACTCTTGTGTATTTGAATGAAGTGTTAAATAGTACAGTAAAGTGTTTCCGGACATTTTGAAGAATATCGGGTGTAATTTGTTGGCATTTATTAGTGATGCGGTTCTGTAAATCTTCTAAGGATTCAGGCTGGTCTATCACGATAAATCAAATTTGTATCTAACCAAACTCATGAATATTTACTTATGATTTATCGAATAGGGGATATTAAAAAAATATAAAAAAAACAAAAAGGATTTTGTGTGATGTAAAATACCCTTAAATATTGAAAAAAAAACGGGATGAGGATTTATCAAAAATCTGACGTAAACCAATAATTGCAACAACAGAGGTTTTTGACGTGATTAGGGCAGTGCGCAGGATTTTTTCATGGGGCTTTATTATTAAATTGTTAAACGCTGTGGTGTTTCACATTCGTGGCTCATTAGTAGTTTCTGGGGAACAAAAAAGATATCGATTTGAAATTTTAGGTCTATTTTTAAATTTTGCATGAAATTTTGAGTAAAATTACTATAATGTAGCGAGTACCCCTCTGGATCGTGATTAGTTTTACACAGCATGGAGCAGTCAGTCAAGCTTTGGTACTTGCGACGAAATAAATAAGTATACGTGCAAATAAATAGACTATTGTACAGTAGTGATATATAAATAATTATTATTATACTAATGTAGTTAAGTGTTTAGTTAGTTTTATAGTTTCTTAGTGTTTTAAGTGTAATTAAGTTATAAAATAAATAGTTTAGTTCAGGGGTTCCCAAACTTGTTCACTTTGTGGAGCACTTACAGGTTTGATTTATTGCCACCGCGCGCCAAACAATTTTATTTAAAAAAAAAACAAGGAAATACAAATAAAGCAATAAATATTTTGTTTTTCTGATTGGGGAGCTCTGGTTTAGTTCGTTAATAAACCAGTGCGTGTTTTATTTCAAACTACGAACAGTAAAAACGTTACAATACCATGTCCTTACTATACCTAAAGTGAATAGTTTTCAAGTTTTTTTTCGATTTGTTTTTGTTAAAATTTGACAAATGCGTGATTTAATATTTTAAATACTATTTTGTATTAAGAAACCTGTGACGGGTGAGTAGACGGTATCCATGGTTACAACGTAATATTTTATTATCAAAATTTTATGGCGTCAATTTTTCAGGTTATTAATAATTTGTTGACTTATTAATTTAATTTAGATCTAGGATGTCAACTAGATGAAGCACTAGGTCATTGGATACCATAAAATATAAAATTTATTTTATGAAATATTTTAATAAGAAAAAAATTAATGACTACAATTTAATAAACCAACAATATTACTAATTTATTATTGTTATTGTATTTATTATTGTTATTGTTTAAAGTGTCCTCCATTTACATTCAAGCATTTTTAATTTTTACTTTTACATTAGACTGCTCTTTTTGACTAAAATATTGTTGGTTTATTAAATTGTTAAAATTACGAATTCCTTTTGTTATTAAAATATTTTATAAAATAAAGTTTATATTTTATTGTCTCCATGTGCTTCCTCTAGTTGACATCCTAGATCTTCGTTGATTTTTTTTTAAATTAGCAAATACCTACTGTTTGTACCGATTACTTTTGAATTTTAAAAATGGTTTGCTTGTCTATTTAAACAATGTTTTAAGATTCCAAAAATCCACGTCCACATTCCCAAACCTTATAACACAAAATCCACTTCCACATTCCCAAACCTTATAACACAAAAAAGTTATAGGCTTTTTTTATTGACGCGCATTTCTCAAATTTTAACTCGAATACTATTCACTTTAGGTATTGGACATGGTATTGTAATTTTATGTAGAATGTAAAAATATATGGATAGTTCTATTTGAAATAACAAAGTTGATGTCACGTCCGGTTAAACCGGAAGTGGCATTTTGTTCAAAATATTTTAGAAAAATAGACATGACTTATAAACGCTTTTAAAATTTTAAATCGATATCTTTTTTCGTTCCCCAGAAACTTCTAATGGACCACGAATGTAAAACACCCTGTATAGAGTTAAAATAAAAATCACTGTCTTACAAAATTAAAAAAAAAAATTTACGCCAACGACAATTTTCTGTTTTTTTGTTCAAACTGAAAAAAGTTGCTTGGTTTTGTTATCATTAAAACTAAATTATCAACACCAATACAGGAGATTTACAATTCTTACTTTTTGTATTCTATTCTTTAAGAAAAAGTAAGAATTGTATTGGTGTTGATAATTCAGTTGAAATGATATCAAAACCAAGCGATTTTGTCAATTTCAACAAAAAACTGAAAATTAGCTATTGGTTAATTTCAAATCAACCAAAGGTTTTGAATGCAACATCTTCGATTTTGATGAATTTTGGTACAGTTCCCCTTCCCATTGAAAAACTCGAAAACCAAAATTTAAATTTTTTTTAAACAGTACTTTTTCCATATGGATTTTTTAAAATCAAGAAATTTACCAATTTGTCACTGCAGACTCTTAAAAAAAAACAGATATAATTCTGGAACTGCTTTTCACAGAGCATTGAGAAATAGCTTGTTTTGAAGGTCTTTTAAACCCCTTTCAGATGATGTATCTAATGGTATATTTAATCTAAAAAAATTGGAAATTCTTGAAATAAAATTTTTTGAAAATTTCTCAAAAACACAATTTTTAATTTTTTTCAAAAAAAATATCTTTATTAACAATGTTTTGGCATATTTACCAAAATTTAGAATGGAGAAATGATGGATTAATTGTAAATATTTTTTTACATAGCACAATAACGGTTTTATTTTAAAAATAGAACATGAATATAAAGCTACAACGAAAAAATAAATAAGGTATAAAAATAACTTTATTTTTATGTTTTAATATTTTTTAAAGATTTTTTGAAGATTTCAACATATCTTCTTTGGTTAAGGTAAAAGTTTGATCTGTACCAGTAACAGGCTCAATATTGTTCCTTTATGAATTATCAATATACGAGGTGTGTTCAGAAAATATCGGCAATTTTCGTTTTTTGAAACAAATATTATTTATTCGTCTACATTAATGTTGTCGCCTTCAAAATAGTCCCCATTGGATATTATGCACATGTGCCAGCTCTTCTTCCAATACTCGAAACACTTCTAAAACTCGATCTTTGGGATAGCCTTTAGTTCTTTCAGCGATGCGCTTTTAATGTCATATATGCTTGCAAAACGACGGCCCTTTAAGGTTCTCTTTATTTTTGGGAATAGGAAAAAGTCAGACAGAAGCATGTCTGGCGAATATGGAGGCTGGGGCATCATTACAGTATTGTTTTTGGCCAAAAATGTTGTTCAAAATTTAACAATTTTGGAACAAATTTTGCTGCCACGCGTTTCATACCCAAAACATTCGAAAAAATTTCATGGAATGAGCCAATCGATAAACCAACATCATCAGCGACTTCTCTGATGGTTTATAACCATTTCTTAAACTTTTTCCATGTTTTTATCGGTTGTTAATGTGCTTGTGCGTTCCTCATCTTCAAGGTCTTCACGGCCATCTTGGAAACTCTTATACCACTTGTTAACTCTTGTTTTACTTATAGCAGACTCACTATAGGCCTTTGTTAACATTTTACAGAATTTATTTAATTTTTTAAGCAAAATTGGATACAAATTCTTTGATCCATTTCTTTTAACGAACGAAAATCGCCGAGCTCATAAAACACGTCTAACCTTAGCGGCTGCCACAGACAATGAAAACAGCTAAAGTTTTTATCATACTTCGGGGGCATCAACATAATAAAGAAAATTTTATGACAACTGGACCCTCCGAACCCGCGAAATTTAACAATTCCCGTTATTTTCTGAACACACCTCGTATCTGCCTTAGGTTTTGTATAATAAAAATAATTTGCTGGTCCAGTCGGATGTAAAAAAACTAACTTTAATTTTCTTAGTCTCTTCATTCTTTACAAGAGCTTTTATAGTTAATGGTAACAAAACCAGATTCAATAAACCTTAATTCAGAATTCGTTATTTCAGTATTGCTATAGCAAAACCATTATGTCATATAATAAATGTCATATTTCTTACAGGCGTTATCCCAGTTGAAATGAAAAAGTCCTTTAATATTCCAATTTTTAAGGGAGGGTCCAAATCTCTTGTCACAAATTATAGGCCGATTTCTTTGATCAATAATCTTGGTAAGATACTAGAAAAAAGCATTAAAAGTCGCCTTATGAAATACTTGGATAAAATTAAATTTTTAAATAAACGACAATTTGGTTTCAGACCAAATATAAGCACTGAAAATGCGTTAGTTGAATTTATCAGGGTTGTTGTCAATGAAATGGAATCAAATAAAAAATGTTTGGGAATTTTTCTAGATTTGGCCAAGGCGTTTGACACCGTAGATCATATTATCGTATTACAAAGAATGGAAAGCATTGGTATATGGGGTTTACCACTTTCCCTATTTAAAAATTATTTATCGCAGCTTCATCAAAGAGTTAAACTTATAAACCAAATAAGTGACCCATTATTGGTTTCTAGAGGAGTTCCTCAAGGAACGATACTAGGGCCAATTTTATTTTTAATATGTATCAACTCCATTTATGAAATAGTTAATTTTGAAGGGGAAATCTTCTCCTACGCTGATGACACTGCGATCATATTTACCGCTGACTCATGGGAACAAGTATACCATGTTGCTGAAAATAATATAAAATATGTTAAAGAGTGGCTTGACAAAAGTCCCCTTAGCCTTAATACAGACAAAACAAAATTTATTTCTTTCTCCATTACAGAAGCTGGTCAACCTGTAGGCAATTTAATTGAAAACATAAAAATTCATAACACAAACTGCCATGATAACTGTAATTGTCCACATATTAAGCGTACACATTTTATTAAGTATTTAGGAATAACTGTGGATCGGCATCTGAAATGGAACCATCACGTAGAATCTTTAAACTTGAGACTAAGAAAACTTATTTACAATTTTTATCAATTTAGAGATATTCTAGATAAAAAACTTTTAACTGCGGTGTACATCGCTTTGGCTGAATCAATTCTGAGATACTGCATTGTCATCTGGGGTAATGTTCTGGAAAATGCTTTAAAATGTTTACAAATAACTCAAAATACACTATTAAAAATAATGTTTAAGAAAACTCGCAGGTATCCCACAACCCAATTATTTCAAGAGGCAAACTTATTATCAATTAGGCAGATTTACGTTTACCAACTCATATTGTGGGTACACAATAATAAGGAAAAATTTGAAACATCTAACCACTCTTATCAAACTCAAAATAAAGATTCACTAATACTTCCGTTTTGTAGAAAAGCAAACACCTAGAGATTTTTATTTTATTATGAACCAAAATATTTTTACTCTATTCCAAATGATATTAAGCAAATAAAAGGTAAAACTGAATTTAAAAAACGGCTTAAAATTTATTTCTTAAATAATTTTAATGAAATTATCTTAAATTAACCCGAAAAACCTCCCCACCCGATATAATTGTAGTTTCAAGACACTTCCCCCTCATTCAGATTTGTGTATTTTTTATGTGTGAAATTCTCAATCAAAAACATATATCTTTATAAATATTGTATTAGTTAATTAGGACTCCGCACACAAGCGAAAGCTTAGGCGGGTCACCATCTTTTGTAAAAAAATTAAAATGTATATAATGATCTAAATAAATTGAATTGAATTTGAATTTAACAACAATTAACAGTTACGTGAACCACCAAAACCGCCCTTGCGCACGGGACCTGATGAATCAGGTCCAATTCTGATTCATCAGGTCAAAAACCTCTGTTTAAAAATTGTGATTGCCTGTGTAACTTTTATTTTCTTGTACAGTTCATCTGGTCCGATTTTAAAGAAACCCATTGTAACCATCAACACCACAATAACAACAAGCAACTCCACGGAAAACAAAAAAGAAAATGTCAAGTCCATCGACACCCAAGAAGCAAAAAATGATGCCTTTTGGAAAACATGTTTTATCGTATTCACTGTGATTTCGTTCTCCTCTTTTACAATCATAATAACCGGGATTTTCTACAGCAGAAGATGGGCGAGTTTTTTCCTAGGATTTGTTGATGTTGAAAGTGATGGCAATTACCAAAATTACAGTATTGAACACTTAAGCCGCATCGAGTAAGTTGACTTTGCCGTCCTAAGTAAAATAACTGACATTTTTGTCAAAAAATGAGTTTTTCTACAACCAATCGAAAAGTACAAATATGCGCTTTCAAAAGTAAGCACAAAGTTGCGTTTAGTGTATTTGCGACTTTTGACACAAACGTCAAATTTCAATAATAATTAATTTTTACCAAACATTCTTATAGATTCTATAATATAATAAAGAAACACCGGTTGTAGAAAAAATGTGCGTTTTTTTAAATTTCAAGCACTGTATTATGCAGAACTTATCTATCAATTAGATACAATAAATACACATTTTAGTAATGATTAACGTGAAAAGTCGTCACCCTAATATAACAAGGTTGTATGTTAAAAAACCGAAAAATTTGAGTTTATGCTTCTACAATCCACCCTTGACAACTTGAAAATAACTATATATATGTATACATAGAAATACATTCTATAGAATTATTTTTAAGTGGTATGTGAAGCGTAGGCCACGTATAATCCTGTAGAAACTAAGACTTAAATTTTTTATTTTTTTTAACATACAACCTTGTTATTTTAGGGTGACGAAGTGTAAACATTTCAATTCAGTAAAAATCGTCAAACAAATAAGTCGTCTAAATTTAAACAGCATTTAGCATTATTAAAAGCGTTGATTTAGAAAGTCTCCACTCAACTGTAAAATACCATTATATTATCATAATATTATTATGTATTATATATAAAATTATGTTGCCATGAACTCGTAGGTATATTTTGTTTTTTAAAATGCAGTTGTCGCCGTTTTTTAGAGAACTCAAATATAAAAATGTTTGTGCAAAAATTATTTTTTACTAAGTTCTTTAAAATGTCCAAACTTAAATATAAATTATATTAGGTAAAGTTATCATTAGTTAATTCTGCACCAACAAATGTACTTACCGAATTGGATCCTTTGGCAAAACATGAAAATGCAACGATTTAGTTCTTGAATTTTATTTACAATTAAAAACACAATAATTCACCATGATTCCTTTGATAAAATACACACACTAACGTAACTATATAAGCATTTAAGCGTTGAGTTTCTTAATCAATGATATAAGTAAGGAAAAATCAATCGAAATAGAGTACTTAAAAAGTCGAGTAAGACTTCAAACCTTCCTCTCTTTTGTGAAAAAACTACCTATTTATGCGTTTTAAATGTTTTTTTTATGTTTCTAGGATGTCAACCTAATATTTTAAGCCAAAGTGAAATTATGTGTGTTGCTAAATTATTTTTTTATTAGAAAGGCTCTGTTGACAATTTAAGCCTGTTATTTTTCAAACAGGAATTTTCACCCAGCGTTAAAAAAATACAAAACACCCTACTTTATTTTTTTTTGAAAATTGTTTTAGTTTTAAGTTGACGCTTTTTTCACAGCTTGTAGAAATTAAATATACAAGAAGTTAAATAATTGGAAAATACGTATTTATGCATTAGAAATGTGTTTTGTGTTGTTAAGATTTCTTTGTTGATTTAAAATAACAAAAACATTTGAAATCAAAACGAAAAAAAAAATGTTTGTAAAGAAGTAGGTATTTTTTATTAAACGAATATTTTTGAATTACTTCTTAGAAACTTAATTTGTTTGTAAAAACAATTGCGAATTACTTTTTAGTAACTTATTTTTTTTTCTGAAAACAACTGCGAATTATTTATTTAAATACAATTTTCGAAAATGAGCTGGGCAATCTAAATTTTACACCAAAACTTCAATATCTCGAAAAAAAAATTGATCACATGATCAAAAAAAAATTTACTATGTAGTAAAGAAAGAAAATGTTTGCTTCAAAATTAAAGTAAAAACTTAAAAAAAAAAATATTTGGTAGGTGACCGAAAAAGCGTTTTATCGCTTTGTTTATAAATATAGAAAAATGTACAAAATCTTAATCCCAACTTTGCTTCAAAATTAAAGTACTTAAAAACTTTTGATTTTTTTTTTGTTTAAAAAAATATTTGGTAGGTGACCGAGAATGCGTTTTATCGCTTTGTTTATAAATATAGAAAAAAGTACAAAATTCATTTTAATCTTTTTCTACGATAGGCCGTTTTAGAGTTATAGCACGACGGGTTTTTGGTAAAAACTACAAAAAATTTGGATTTAATTTTTATTGATCAAAATTTTGTGAACAAAAAATTTGGGGGCCATTGTTTCCTACCATTTATGTAGAGCATTATCCCAATAACATAAATTGTAAGGGACAATCCCCCTACATTTTTTGTTACAAAATGTTCTTCTAAAACTTACCGTTTAAAAAAAAAAAATGAGTTTGATCGACTATGTTGGTGTATTTTAGAGAAGTTTGAATTAAATCTTCTTGATTTTTTAAGATATTTAGTTAAAACAAAAACCACGTTAAAGTAGGAATATCATCTAATTATTGAGTAAAAATTCGTAAAGTGATCATGGTAATAAAAATCAGTAAAAACCTACTTTACGTTAACTACCGGGTTGCCTTATTATTTCACAAATATTGTATAGAAAATTCAATTCGTATATTTATACATTAGAACATTTTTGTCCTTCTTAATAAATAATTAATAACTTACAAAAGAATAATTAGATTTGGCTGAAAATTGAATTACTTGTCGATAAATAAATGTTCTTTGCAGCAAAATCATAACAAAATTGAAATGTTGCATTGTTGCCATTTTAAATAAAAAAAATAAACTAATGAATATTTAACTTTGTTTTTGTCTGTTTTTTCCTATTTCCGTACATCACAAAATCATTCAAACGTAAGTTTTTTTCTAAACCCAAAGTAAGTCCAGAATTTGGTATTGTTTGCAATTATTGTTAACTTCGGCACGATTAAAAAACGCGATCCGTATCAATGCGTTGCTGCGTTAAAAAATGAATTTTTGTTTTACAAAATAAAAATTACATTTTTTACATCTAGGTAATAAAAGGAATGTATTTTTATATTTTTGAAAAAAAATTCAGATAATGTGTGTAGAACAAAGTTGAATGTTTTTTTTAGATAGTATGCTTGAAAAAGTTACAGTTTTACAGGATAATAATATTAATAATAATATTGCTTTAGAAAATAACCAGAATAAATCAATTTCTTCAATAAAAACTCCTGCAAAAAACGATAGAAGAAATAAAATCTTTTTTTTTGTACTATCAAATATTTACTGATAAGACCTGCCGCAGACAAAATTTCAGAGGCATTTTTAAAAATTTCATTATTTCTGTTATTTTCAGATTGAACAGAAATTTAATGTAATAAAAACCCAAGAAACAAAAACCTAAATTAAAAATTATCCAGAAAAAATTAGGTACAGAAATTTTTTTATTGATTTTTTGTTAATGTTTTTGAATTTTATAAACTTCAATAAAAGTTTAGTTTTTTAATTAATCGTTATAATTCTCCACCAAGAGAAAAATAAATTCAAGTATTACATAAGCACCAAAGGGGGAGTCTTGATTGCTTTGATTTTTTTTTGTATATTTTTACTTACTTTTGCTGACAAAGAAAAGGGGGGTTAAAAATTACTGCTCACGTAATACTTAAATGGCCCAGTACTTAAAATTTTAAAAACCAACACTCAAAGTCCAGTTAAAAAAATCATTGAGGGTCAGGAAACCAAAAAGAAAACACATTTTGTCTGAAAAAAAATCAGGGAAGGTCAGGGAGTTCCTGAAAAAGTCAGGGAATTTGGTTTAGGCAAATCGGTGGCAACCCTGTAATAGACGCATGCGTCAAAATGTAATAGATTTGGGATTTAAGGTAATAGACTATTTTGAATAATTTTTTTTTATTTTTTGACGTTTTACTGTTGTCATTAGAATAAAATTGAATTTTTACAAATTTAAGCACACAACAAACGTCAAACACTTAAGCAGTGTTGCCAGACGTACGATAATTTTCCATAGAAAGAATAATTATCCTTTTTGCACGATAATAATGTACGAAATCACATGTAAGATAAAATTAAAATGAACCTACAATAATTTCATCTAAATCAAATTGCACAAGGGAATAAAACTACCCAATATTAACAAAATCTTAAATTTAAGTTTATTTTAATTAACTCTTAATTTTTATTTTTTTTTAATAATAAATTTGATTTATAACATAACATAACATTTAAAACACTTATATTAGAAAAACCTAGAAAAATTTAATTCTACAATAGTTTTGATGCGCTGCGACAATAAGTGGCAACAATAGGACCACAATAGAATATTTAAAAAAAATTCCTACTAGGAAAGAAAAAAAAAATAAATTTACATCGTTTAGTAATAGGGTAATATACAAGGTGTCCCTAAACTTAGTGGCATAAATTTAGGAGCAGATTAAGCAAGTCAAAATAAGACGAAAATGTAATAAAATATTTTTCCTAATGACGTATGTTTAAAAGATACAGGGTGATAAAGTGTTACTTATTTGTTGAGGGTTAGGAGTTTAGGGTGAGTCCAATGACACTCAGGATTTGTACTACTTTCGTTTATTGGTACTTAAACGATTATCACTACAACTTACACTATTTTCTGGCTTCAATCTACTTAATTATCTTAATCTTAGAGTTGTTACATACTAATTCATTGTTCGGAACCTAATTCTCGATTTCTGTCCGTGCCTTTGGTTTTGTTTAGGGTATGTCACATGACATACGCGAAGATGGTCTGACCATTTAGACCAATGAAAATTTAACAGCAACAATAGTTCTAACCAATAGAAAATTAATAATAAAACCCTAATATAGAAAAACAAAGACTCAGCAGAAACGAGGTTTAATGCTTGGAAAAGAGTAACGAACTTAAAATATAAAATATTTGCACTACACGTGTATTTCTAAAAAAATAACTTATCCTAAATTACAATGTAAATGACCCTTGGAAAGGGGTGTAAAGGGACTTTACAACACCTCCCCCCTAATTTTCAAAATTGAACCGAGGATTGGTGCAATTTTCATTAAGCTCATGCTCCTCTTCCACTACTTCTTGAGTTTCAGGACTTGAAGAGTTACCTGAGT